ACGATTTAAAGGATTGCCCCGGTGTAATCCGTCATCCATGGGACTGTTAAACATCCCCTTTCCTCAGCTGAGGGGGAGTCAGTAATTGAAGTGTGGTGTCTGGGAGACAACAATCCTTTTCTTCTCACTTGGTGTCTGGATAATCTCAGGCATCAGCTCAGATGACCTCTGACACCTGCGTTTTTAATTTCATCCCTTCAATTGGGTATTTTCTTTTTTTGCCACCCTTGATCCGCCCCCTTGCAGATGGGTCTTATCTTTGAAAGGCCAAGCTTTGTCTCACTTTGCCAAAGTTACAAATTACAGGAGGAGGCAGAATACTGAATTCCAAAGGAATTTTGGAGGGTTGTAGGTCACATCACAAAACATAAAAGAAACATTTTGAAAAAACCCCACAACATTGTTTACCATCTAGATTGGATGTACTTTTTAAGATGGTATAGAAATTTGCTGTAAACTGGCCTAAAAAATGTTGTTCTAAAAGATCTCTATGTCCTGAGGTGACATCTATTCTATTATCTACACAGTCATTACAACACACGATGAAACGTTTTGTGAGTCAACTGAAGAAATCAATTGTCTTCTCTAACTTTATTTAGTTTTCTATCTTCCTGTCCTCTGCACTGAAATCTCTAGATATGTTTTGCCAGTAAAGACTGAACAGTAGGTTGATGCACAGCCTTAGCAGACTTAAGCTTTATCTGTGATTTCAGTGTTCATGTTTCCTTGCTACTGTGTTTTTGCCCCCTGAATTGGAGGAGTGGGCACGTAGCTGCCACTGTGAATTAGACCAGAAGCATTAGCTTGCAGAATATATACCATTGAGCTAATGACTCCCAAAAAATAGCTGCTTTAGAAGAAGGGACACACAGCAGACTCTGTTTTTCTATATCATATTTTTAATGACAAAATATTTGTCAGAAACAAATGGATTTATTTTTCTCAACCCAGGGCATAGTACGGGGAGCTTATGAGGTTCCGGTCCCCAGGGCTTCAGACAACTAACAAAACACGTTTTATTTCTGCTCTGCTGCCCACCTACAATGCTGTTCACATACAGGAGGACAAGTGGGAGCGTCCAGCAAATGAATGAAGTAGCATGGCTCTCTTTCACAGAGCGACTTCCAGTGTCCAGAGTGGTTATTTATGAATAATGTCAGTTATTCTACGTATGGGACTCTAAATTTACTGCCTTAAAAAATAAGGATATCAATCAACTTGTTTGTTTCTTCATTTATTGTGGTAACAAAATTCCACAATGGATAATTGTTGAGATTGTTTTGAAGGTCAAAAAGATTTACAATTATAAATTAATGACACTGAAATTATTCCAAAGCTATAAATTCTGTTACCATATTGTTACCATGCTTTGCAGACAATCCCTAACTCGCCTCGACAGCTGCTCTTACTTACATGGTGGATTCACTCCTCCAAACCACCCTCAATTAGCTCTTCTTCTAAATAACCACTCTTTTCACTTGCAGTTTCCGGCTACACATGCACCTCCTTGTTTCATCAAGCCATCCCATCCATCTCAAAAACACCCTCACAAAGGAACTACACTCTTGTTTGTGTGTCGAAAAACAAGAGGCACACTGAGCCACTTCCTATTCACATTGGGACATTTGCATGAAGCTTCTCTTCCCCCCATTTAGTGACTCCGAACAGCTCGGCCAACACGGAGAGCGTGAGAGGCTCAGGCGTTGAGCCAGTTATCCCATCATACTGTTGTGAATTGTACAGCATCATGCCGTGAGAACACGCGGCTGATATCAGCTGCTCCTCCACAACAACGAACATGCAAAGTGTTGAGGTAAAGAGTAACTCTGAGTGTCACAGGTGGCTACGACCACCCATGTCAGACAGCCCCAATTAATTTTGGGGGAAAAAAAGGAAAACATCTATTCATCCTTAAACAAAAACCAACTCCAACTTGATGCATAATCAGTTTTTGCAGGGTTACTGGGGATTTTTTTTAATTTTTTGGGGGGGGGTCATTGCTTTTATTTTTTTCAGTTTTCCATATTACTTGTTACTCCTTGCTTTTTCCCCTCTCTTTCTGTCCGTCTCTGTCTAATCACGTCTCTGCTTGACACAGACATGGAGAAGTTCCTTTCCATGCTGGGAGAGATAATTGACTTCTGTTCCGTGCGTGCCACAATCAAGACAGAAGACCACAGCGTATTACGAACATGTGCTGTGTACAAAATAATGTCAAAGTCAGCACACGGCTTGATTTATTTCATTTTATATTTTTAACGATGTATGCTTCATAATGCATCTGCCCGTTACTATATTAATGGAATGTTTGAATAACAGACTTCTACATTAAGTTTGGCAACAAATCTAGACACACACAATGACCATGTTTAATGTGTGTTCTGTCCTTCGGAGGGAGAGAATTTATGAAAATAATAGCTTTGGATATTTGCTGGAACAGTTGATGCAGGCAACTGAACACTGAGCGGGAACATTCTTGCACCAACATGCACTGAGCAATAAAAAGAAGAATGTGGATTTCTTACTGAATACTCAGGGAAAACTTGCTTGTAGGTTTCATTATGTAAATCATCATGTGGAAATGTATTTGCATCTTTGTCAAAGGAACCATGTTATTTTAATGTATTTGAGAAGAAAATGTGCTATATACTAGGCATGTTGTCAATAAGTTATTTTAACTGAGTAAATATGCATTTATTTCTATTTACACGACATCTGCATCCATTTGAGTAGCGCCTCTAAAATAAGTTACAAATAATGCAAACATAACTACAAACAGCACTAATCATGCTAAGTGCAAGACTAGGCTACATCAGACTCTTAATCTCTACAATATGTGGTTATTATAAATGTGCAAAAGTTATTACATTCTAAACTTCTTAATTAATATGTAAACCAAAAAGTAAACTGGCCTATACAGTCTGTAAACCTCACACAACCTCGGAATATGGGGTATTGTAGATAAAAGCTGAATAAAAGGCAACAACATGAATATTTAAAAATAAAGTGGTTATAGTTTAAAGTGCTTCAAAGCACTGCAGATTCTCAGCCAGAGAAGAGAAGTGTTGCTCTATGGTTTATGTCCCTTTTCTCATTCTGCATGAATTAAATAAACAGTTTGACATTTTTGGAAATGTAGTTAAGATTCACTTTCTTGCCAACACGGTGAGCAGATTGATACCTCTCATGTCTGTGTGTCACGTTTGCAGTAACAGACAGGCGGCAATGAGCTTAGCTTAGCTTAGCATAAAGACTGGACACAGGGTGAAGCTGCTCGCTTGAGTTTTTGTCGACACCTCTAAAGCTTATGAAGATAATGTATATGCTTTTATAGGGAGTTAAATGCATTCAACTAATTCTTGGTGAACAACAATATAGGACAGTGATGTTCTAGAGTCTTCTAACAACCAACAGAGTTATTGTTGTTTGTCAGCAAACTTTCACAGCACCTAACTTAATTTTATCATCCTATTAATGATTCATGATAACATGTTACTTACCAATTTACCAGCTAAACTTATTTGGAAGAGAAAACAAAGGTAAACAGTAAGAATATTACCTGTCTGTGAAATCATTCAGCTGACAGAATGTACAATTATTTAGTTATCTGTCTAAACTGTCATGTTTTACATTTTTGTCTACTTTCTCATTATATGCCTTGTATTTTTGACATCTACAATTTCGCAGTATCACTATGTTCAAAGCTCTCAACAATTACCTTTATGAGTACTATGTACAATAACTAATTGAAATTATCCCTCAAACTCCATAAGTTCGTCAAATTTGTAAAAAAAATTGGGTTTGTCCTGTATTATTGTGACAGAAGAGAGCTAATCTGCAAGTCACCTCTATAACCCCAGTCAGAACAAGTGAGTGAATCTGCGTGTGATTCTGTAGGCGAGGGACACGATTCTGGGGCCCGAAGCCTTCTTCTGGTTTCCATTTATATTTTGACCAATCACGTTTGAGATGGCTTATGTTGCCTGCAGGTAATCAGTCTGTGTGGAGCGCAAAAGAGACAGAACACATTGAATAAAATACATCATCTATCTTTTAAATTCACCTGCATTGATATGCAGATAGCTGTTAACAGAGATTAGTCAAAAATATATATTGCTGTTTGTGTTTGGTGAACAAATCTTCAACTCATGATAAAATGAACTAGTTGAACTGTAAACAGGGAATGACGAACGGAGGACAGAGTATTTGCCTGAATATCTGCTGTAAACTTCAGAAGAGCCATATTATTTGCCGTTGCCCCTAATTTGTCATCATATGACAGCTGATGGACTCCGACATTGGCCTTGTGTTAGGTGAAAAGGTTTATAAAGGCTTGACTGGCAGCAAATCAGACTTAATAATAATAATATCATAATATAGTTCATAGTTTTGGTTAACTCTGCTATTATATGCATGGGTGTATCATATTAATCCTCACTCCACTGACCACAGTCTTACAGATGTTTCAAAATGAAGTAACCACTATTTCTCCAGGCAGGTTCAACTTCAGTTGACATTTTAGCAATGAACTGCCAAACTGAGTCAAATGGGAGTTTATTCAGTTTTCATGGGTCGTATCTGAATATCAGTGCAACACTCGACAACACATCCAGCAACATATCATGTTTCATGTTTAATGAATTGAGGAAGAATCTCTGTAGTGAAATGTGTTTTCTTGCTACTGTCTCTTCACTGAAATTGCAAAAGTGTCCAAATATATGTTACTGTTCGGGGTAAAGGAAGAGGCAACAATCTAAGCTACAGTAAAATAGAACCAAGGTGATTGAATGTGAAACACACTGTAATGATGTCATTTTTTGTCAATACACCAGTAACCATGAAACCCTTTTGTCTTTCTTTTCTTTTTTTTTAAAGAAAAGATGGGGTGTTTTAGGGATGGGGGGGTCATTTTCTATTAGACACACATCTTCAGTCAGAGTTTCTAAAAAGTATTTTTCTTTACACTTAGTACAAAAAAAGACATCTCTACCCGTTAGTGCTTCGTTTTTAAGATACTATAACATAAATAAACAATTTATTTTCAGTGTTCAGAACAGACAGTTCCAGTGTGACTGGAAAACTAACATACTCCACCATATTCCAGTTGGCAGCAGAGGGTCTAACAGAGTTCTCCTCTCAGATTTTGGTACACCTGAACGCACCATACTTACAAAATGTTCTTCATTTCTGCAAACCTCTAACATTAGCCCCAAACAGTTTGGGGGAGGGGGCGATTCATGTCAAGATTCACTTTTGCTCCCCTGGAGTGAGAATACGACAAAACCCTTAAAAGTTTTCAATCAAGACTTGACAAATCTCTCTCAGTCCCCACTCATCAGCTGCAGTCATTTTGATCCACTCCCGGGGTACTGCGTTTCCTCTCCGTGCACGAGTCTCTTGAGAAATGAACAGTTACAAATTCCTAGAGTGCAACGCACAGTTACGACCGAGGGCCTCATTCAGTACGTGTAGTCCCAACTTCACTGCGGATACATCAGTACATGAGCATAACCTCTATGTGACAGTAAAGTTCTTGGGTATTACCTACTGATATTTAGCATTTACTTTCTGAAAAGCAATTAGATAAGATTCTGCTGTGCAAAACGATGCCATGAAGAGCTGATAGTGTAACTCTCCATTCCTTTTATTTCAAAATCCCTCACTGGTCCCAGTCACACTTTTATCTCGCTCTACCAGGTCTTCCTCATTCAGCTTGTACTTGGCGCCTCAATTCCTGGCACTGAGTTCCTCATGTCCTTATTTGCAGGTAAACACCTCCGTCCTCTCACTGCATGTGTTGCACTTGACGAAGCAGCACCATTGGAACTTACAATTGCACTGCCACACTTTGGTGTACTGGTGTGTATTGTAGCCCCGGCCGCAGCACATAAGGTCGCAGCCATCTGTGTGTGGTGAAGTGCGGTTGCACAGGCGTCCCTGCGTGCCCACACTCCCTGTGGCCGCATCCTCCTCGCAGTAGTTGGGCGACCTCTCGATGTAGACGAGATCGGTCTCCATGGGCTTGCGGTAGCCCTGAGTCTGCTTCACCTTGAGGTGGGTGGGCTGTCGAAGTCGGCTAGCCCGGACTACCTCCACATGCACAGCTTCATTGTACTTGTCCTTGAGTACGTAGCCAATCTCGCGGAACTTTGGAAGTGTAGTCCAACAGGTTTTGGTCGTGCAGGATCCTGAGACACCGTGGCACTTGCACTCTAGCTTCATCCTTTCTTCTAGAACCTGAGGAGCGATAAAACACAACAACTGTAGAACTGCATTAAATATAGAAAGGGAATTTAATTCCCAACCTTAAATCAACTACAACCATCCTTGACAGAGGCAGAACCCCATGTCTCACTTAATGAGCTAGGTTTTCCTCCGTACACTATATAGAGGTGTATGTATATGGTTTAGGAACTGTTTACAGTTGGCCATTTCATATTTCTGAAATCTAAAATCATTAGTTGCAGGAAGAGGACACAAAACATTAAATACTTTATTGATGAATACTTTTTACCAAGATGCTATCTGATTGCTAGCTTTGTTTTGCGTTGCTATGTAAGTCAAAACAAATTGGAAATATTTCTGATCAACAGCATGTCACAATATCTGAAAATTTAAGTCATGGTTAACGTGATGTTTCATGTCCTGAGGGAGGGAAAATTGCACTTACTGGTAATATCCCATCCTGCAATTTAGTCTACCTAAACCACATCAATGACAGGCAAAAGTAAACATGGATCTCGTACAACTATCAATCATCTTGGATCATTTGAAGCCAGATTATTCTATCATTGGATGTGTTGCACATGCAGCACAAAACAAAGACAAAGACAATGAATTGTTCACAGCTGGACAAACATCTTGAGGTTTACTTGAATGCTCAGTCAATATTGTGATAAATAGAAGAAAGCAACGTTGCCATGTGCATGAAAACAGATTTTAATAAATCATTCATTCTAAAGCATCCTAGCAACATCCAAGATACAGGTCAGAGTCCTCTTAAATGCATTTATTATTCCCTTACTGCTCTGTTTTAATTTAGTCATTGAATTTATCTCCAACAACATGGTACACATGGAAGAATGTTATATCTTTGCTGCCGACTCCTCTGGAATTTGGGAAATATTGTGTACCGTCATCAGCGTCAAGTATGATTCCTTTGACCTGTTGGACGAACAAACACAATAAAAACTGTTCCCCTTCACATTCTGATGAACTCAATGATCAATGAACCGAAGAAAGAGATGGTTGAAGTTCGAATGGGTCATATTAACACATTTGTAAAAGTCTTGCCATGACCGCTTTAACCCATTTGGGAATCCCCCCATTAGTTGAATGGTGTGATGGGCCTTTGTTGCATAAGATGTATGTTTGGTTGAAATGGCTTTCTCTTGGCACCTCGCATTGGCAGCAGCACAAATCATAATTTCTATCAGACGCTAATGAAATGATGAAATGGACACAAGAGTTGTTCACCATCTCTGACTCTTATGTGATCACAGCTTTCAAATATGCGGACATTTGATTGAAAAAATATTTATCAGCTTCCCTGAATTCATAAAAGCTTAAGTCACTTGTCAACCTTGCCTTGGATGGCGATATATAGACCGAGGATTTCCAAAAATGCATAGTGCGAAAACCACGAGGAATGCCTTTCATAAGGAATCTGAGGGATGCATGGAAACATTTACTTAAACTGTGTCCATCAGAGCCAATCTGTTTCTAATTAGTCCAATAAGACCAGATTGTCCTTCACAGATGACTTGTCAAACACACACCCAATTCAAGATGATGCAGATCTCAGGGTGATTCACAGGGTGTTTTACATTTGGTTTGGTCACGAAACCAATTATAATTTTAATTCAGTTTCAATGACGCTTCTTATCAGTGATTGAAAAACAAAATCTCAGCTGGATCCCATTGGAGGCACACTCTCCCCTCTCATCAGAACAATGATCAATCAGCTCCGGATCAGTTGATTTGTCTTGAGTTTATTGGTCTTAAGACTTTTTTGTGGCACATGCTGCTTCTTAAATGAAGCATCTTCTCTGACATTAACAGGGAAAAGGAACTATATATTTCAGGCATAGATAGCATTTTTATCTACATAAAAGAGCAGCATATTCTTAATAAATAACCAATAAGGGTCCCATTAGTAAGTGTCTTGCATCCAGATAAAACATCCAATACATTGTGATGTAGCACCAGGTATAAGCGTCTCCATTTGACGGATTTAAAATCTAAAACAACCCCCATCAAATATATAGCTGTAGCACCCATGTAATACATATTTGTGTGTGGGCGTGTGTTTGAAACGGCCACTTGTGTGTTCGAACTCTGACATTAGGTGATTTGATATGATAGCATATGTTTTTGTAGTGCTATTCTACCTGGTAGTTATATTCTGTTGTGCGAATAAAAAAACATGTACTCGTCTGAATAGAGCCGATCCATCAAACACCAAATCCCACAATTCCTATCCACCAACCCCCTTTTTTCTCAGCGCGTCAAGGCAGCTAGCTAACTCATACAGAAACTTGGTGAATGAATTTAAATAAAGGAAACTGAAGTTGAACTGCTATTAGAATATTGACATAATTATACAGTTGTAATGTCCCTGCAGTCAAGATAATAGTTCTCTGTTTGATATTTGTGTGACTTGAATGCAACAAGTAATTTGCTTGTCACACAAACGATCAACTGCACTGTACCTGCAATGTTTTTCAGAGATGGTGACAGATGCTAACTTGTGATATGTTGTGGCCTGGGCTACAAAACTATAAACCTCTGTAGCACCAGTGATGTGCAAAAGTGAGCTGTAGCACTTTGCAACTAACAGTTAGCAGCATCAGTGCACTACTTAACAGATATCCATAAACTAAAACACACGCACTGAGCTGGTTTGAACAATTGTATTTCATTCCACACTTTTGATGTGTGACAGCTATCTAACCCGCCCTAGTGCTAATAGGGTTAAACAAAGAGTATATCCAGTGACAGCTCAGACCTCTGTGTTCTTAAAAAAATATCTTCCACTCTGAGACAGACCTCCACTTTCCTTCTGTCTCAGCAAAGACATAATCTGATGTTTTGCACATCCTCCTCGAATTCAAGTTTCCGAGCCCCGAGTGAGAACAGCGACAGTGCCAACTCCAGCCCTGGCAGTCTAACATGCCAGCACCATGGCATTCAGTGAGGACCCTGTCAGTCTGCTGTGCTAACACCGGCATTGTCGGCCTGCTTTCACACCCTGAATAGACGCACTGTCGTTTGATGCAGTCAAAGTGACATGTTTTGGTATTGTGCAGAGAACTGCAATAATATCCTGTTCCTGACTTTACACTTCATAATTCTATGAAAGGAGCTGAGGGGCGATGGCAGTCCATCTGGCAACCATTGGCCAGGATTCACGTTCCCAGTAGACATGATAAAGCCTGTTATTAATTAGATCCATTTGTCAACATAACATCATCTCTTCTCTTTTATTCGCCTCTCACAATCTCCTCTTTTTTTCTTTTCCTGCACGACTGTTCTAGGATGACTAATAGCAAACAAACATGTCCATAATGAACTTTTCCAACGTACTCTCTCAGAAATGAAAGCCTTCGCTCTTAGAATGCAAGTGAATGCCAATAAACGGCTGAAGAAATACAAGCTGCTGAAAGACTATCTGTGTGATCAATCAATCAACGGCCAGATCAATCACAGCTCTCTGACATGACTGACTTTTACCACTTTTATTGGGATTGTTTGCTGTTCTGTACTGGAACACATTAACACACACACTTGCAGCCATGTATATAAACACACACACACACACACACACACACACACACACACACACAGAGTTGTTTCTCCATGACTTCAGAGGTTGTTACATTGACATACACTCATTTCCTGGAGACTTACTGTAACCATAAAACATTTTTTTCACTAATTTTTGATGCATTATGACTCGTAATGTTCTGTGTCTTAAGATGATTTTATGTCATGTAATCCCATTTTATTAAAACCTGGGTCTGAGTTTCCTCATAGTTTCTATCGCTGAAAACTTGTTGCCTAAATTATATTATATTTATATATATTATGAAAATCAGATCTGGGCTAGTATAAATCAGAATTATCCTTTAAATCAGGGAACTGTTTTTAAGGTGGAACTAGTTGCTTAATTCATATCAATTAAAAATATTGTTTTATTTGGAAAAGAAAAACTTGTGGAAAAAGCATCTGAGGTTCTTTACCTTCCTCCCTGCCTCATTGTTATGCAAGTTCATCAGGCGGCGTGGGGTCTTTTTAATCTCGCGGGCATCCACGAAGCGGCGGGAGAACTCGATGCCGTACTTAATGTCGGCTGAGCAGCCTCCCCACTTCCAGCCCTCCTCCTGATTGTAATACCCCTGCTTCTCACGGTCGCAGCCACACTGGCTCAGGTTGCCCTGGCTGCAGGCTGCTGTAATGGCGTGGGCCACCCCTGCTGCTGTGATGGCATAGGTGAACGCTGCTTCCCGGCTGCCTGGAAGAGGAGAAAGAGATCTTTTTAGGAACATTTGGGTAAAATGAGATACTTTTGGAGGATGACTTGTAGGTGACATGAGACAACACAATACAAAACCCCAGCAGACATTTTGATCTGAATCAAATGTTTGGCACCTCATATAAGGCATTGAACACAATATAAATATGTTGTATAACAGGTCAGACAGCCTTTATTGTTATCTATCCTTCTTTAGTCTTGTAAACCTTACACCTCAACATTCCAGTCCCATCATCCAACACCGCAATGTGATCTTGATAAAAAGCACCAAAATTCAAAGTCCACTCCCTATAATCTTGATAACCTACCAAATATTCCTCCCCCTCTCCTAAACAGCTTCCCTCCTGCACCTTGGTACAAATGTGGTCACATTTCCGACCGCAAAGTCCTTGGACCCAGTCTGCGAGAGTGCTGTGTAGGAATTCCAGTGTGGGGAGAGCTGGTCTAGGTGCTGTCCAAAGTGCTGAATTCCTCTACAGAAGCACCTTGTACTGTTGCCCACACTGTGAGCAGCTGGGGTCTGCAGGTCTCACTGCCTCACTCGCACTGTACAGCCAGAACAAGAGGCACTCTGTGGAGCCAGAGCCAAATGGCACCGAGACTGCACATGATAAGATTAGCAGCTAAAGGACATACAGTGTGTGTATTACCTGTGTCAAAATTATGTAAATCCAAATAAATCTCCTGTCTGTGCTGTCAATCAATCTGATCCCTCAGACTGAAGGATTATAATATTCTCATAGAGATGCAAAAATTCTCTAACTTCTGATGCTAATGGGTAAGATGCAAAAAAGCCCCATCGTCAAGAAACAGTAACACAGCTTCAGGGTTCTGAAAAAAGAACATATCATGGATGCAAGCTGTCAATGCAGCAGTAGCAGTAACATCATTTTACACTTATTAAACCTAGGGTTGGTTATCCTGTAAAACACCTTTGCTTCCCATCCTCCATCAGCTGCAAGCACACAAGAAAGTTTGAATGACTAAGGCTTATGATAACGAATTTTCACTGCAAATAATCACAATATACAGTTTTGATTATATGTTCATTCAGCTGCTAATACCATTTTGCTTATAACATAGAGAAAGAAATTCACAGAGCCTATCATGATGCATTCAAACACTGTAGCTTGTTTTGAAAAAGCTGGAACTGTCAAATGACATTCATTATTAATAAATGACTTGAATGATTAATAGGTTTTTGAATTTGTTATTGATTTATTATCCAGATTATATTATTACATTAAGGTTCTTTGGAAAATGAAAGATATATTAGGGGGGGGAAATGACAATGGTACACATTCAGCCCCAAGGTTGATGACAATGACATTGCCATTCCATCCCCTTTTCTTCTCAATATCCTCTAGTATTCCTCCTCCTTTACTCTCCTTATGGCTACAGAGGGATCAGGCTTAAAAGGCCTCTCCTGGTTGAAAACAGACTGTGGGTTGTTACAGCCCTGCTCTCCCTTCAACTGGCAGTAATCTGGAAAGGGGCCGAGCAGAAGAAACAAAGCTAACCGCAAAGTGTTTCAGGGGGCCTTTCAGCATTCGGAGAGGAATGTTTGTATGACTTTTGATGTATGTTGTGTAATGTACTCAGTTGTAATTAGTGGAATCTCTCTAGGTGAAATTCTTCTGCCCCTCAGAGAACCAAAAGCTTTTTGTTGATATATGATTTCGTCAATAGCTTTCAGAGGAGTTGCACAACAAACTGCACATTCTTTCCCTGCAGAGAGGAGAAGATGCACATGTGAAGAGCGAAGGGTCAATAAATCACCCGTGATTAGAGATTCCTCCGTGTGATTTATTTAAATGTAATGATAGCAGCCTGTGACATGCATCAGATGTGACACATCTAAAATGTGTTTTTATAGGTAAAGAGTTTAAACATATATACAAAACCTCATGGCAGCTACAACAGATGTGGATCTGGTAAAAACTCAAAATGAAGGAGTAAACTGTCATATAACATAAACATTCAGTTACCTATAATAAATACGCTGTCAGACACTGCAGACAAACCCACAGTGGTATCCACCAAAAACAGAAATAATACCCTGAAATGAGCAAACGGACAAGGTGTTTACATCTGCAGCAGCAAAGTACGACAATAAAGTGGAAATTATATGGAAACAAAACACACACAAAAAACATGTTTCAGATGTGAGAGAAAAAAATACAACATGGCCTGTGTCACTTTGCCTGACCAAATAAACTCTTAACCATTTTGAAATTTACTAGGCATAAAATCTTTGCTTATTTTACATCATTAAATGGAAGCAGACAGTGCAGTCAGATAGCGCCAAGACTGCTAGTGTTAACTGGAGCCTAGCCTAGCCTAGCCACGACTAGGCCTCCTATGCAAAAAATTAAAAGTGTAAAATGTACTTATCTATAGTGTTTTTATTGCCTATGATTATGGAGCTTTTTATCTGCATATTAGAAGTAATTTGCATGAAGTACTTCTTAATATACTGATTATATGCAGTCATCTGTTTTCCATTTTATATCCTCCTCTCTCTTTTGCACCTCTTATTCTAGTCTCAGGGGCATTTTCTGAACTCTCAAAGATGTTTTCACCCAAAGCCACCGTTAATTTCCGAACCTGGCACTGGTGCTGCAGAGCTAATACCACGGCCACAGGTTTGCCTGGTGGGGACTGACTCACAACCGCTTTCTTCTCTGGTTAGCAGCAGAGCTGTGCCCCACCAGCTTGTGGTAACTTTCTGCTGCCCCCACCTCGCACACACATGCACAAACGGAGTTGCACAGCTGTAAACGTATGCACGTTCACATGCACGCACATGCCCAGTCAACGGCCACATAATAAAAATACACAACACGCTGCCCTCCACCCTCACACATGCACTGTTAAAAACACATTTGCACATAGACGCACAAACAGAGCGGCAGTTGTAATGTTTAAAACAGGATAAAGACAGTTTCCAGAGAAAGGGTGGTTCCCGGAGCCGGAGATGCATGCCCATTTCTGGGCCCATTGAGTTGTGCTGCTCATGGGGAAAATGATGATGGAGCTTGTACTGGATGTCACCCCCCTGGTGGGTCTGGCACTGCCAATGCTCTGCCTGGCCAAAACGAAAGCCAATTACACAAGCCAGGGAACTGTGGTGATCAAGACCCTCTTTTTTACTTTGTGCAACGAACAAAAAACACATCAGAATTTGGGAAATCACATTTTTAGCACTTGAAATACATTGTCCACTTGGTATAAATATTCACTTGGAGCATTCAGTCCAAAATGGTTATATTATGTGATATGATATTCAATCCAAAACATTTTTAGTGATGCTTGGACTGTAGAAAAACACATTAGAAGAAGATTAGAATCTATGTATGACAAATAGAGAAAGTGCCCAAAATAACAGAAATCAAGCTAACGGAAACCAAAGATCCAATGGTTCTGCTAATGTACTGAACAAAACTAATATACTAATAAAACCACAACCAGGAAATTCCATATTTTAACAACAATGCTTTTGTTAATCATTGTGCATAATCACTATGCTCCTGCGCCCTCACAAAGGAAGGCCCTGCTTTGCTGAACAGATGTGTGGTTGATGAAATGTGGAGGAGGAGGAAAAAAAGCACCCATAACAGCAGCAGAAAGCCCTGAAGAAGCTGGCCCCAGAGTCCTGACAGCCCTCCAGGAGGAACCACCCTGGGATAGCCTCGCAAGCTGCCAGTGGAAAATTGGAGTGACCAGAAAAACCTCAATGAACTTGGAAACATCCAGGAGAGAAGAATGAGGGAATATTAAACCAGATGTCTAATGGAGTTTAGTGGCAAGTGTCTGCAACACTATCCAAGAAAGTAGGGGAGAAGATCAGTCTGGCTTCACCCCGAACAGGTACAAGAAGCCCATAAACAAGCATTAAATATCCCGTAATATCCTCGTGTCATGGACTGAAACCGGAGATGCAGTAAAAGCTACACACTCAGTACGCCTTGGCCTTCACATTAACTGACCACAACACTTTGGATACTGGCCCCTGCTGCGATGCCCGTCATGTCTCTTGATCATCTGCCAAAACAGGGACACAAAAAGAAGTCTCTGGATGTAGTGGCTCGCCGCTGAAATGGCAATCTGTGTTTAGAGCCGGAGGAAGGCACACCACTAGACAAATTTCACATGACACAGCACGGGAGATTTACAACTGACGACACTGTACGGGCTGTGCTGGTACAGTGTATGCTAGCTGATCTGGCGACACCACCGCTGACCTCAACGGGTCTTGTATCCGTCACTGCTCGCAGGCCATGGTCAGGCTTTGCTGCTGACAAGAGAGGAAAGAGAAAAGATATACTGAAGAGACTTGGGCTACAGTCTAAAATACAGCCCAAGGTCAGTTTTGCTGTGTGTCTACCCCATCCAAAGATAAAGACTTGAAATCTAAACTGAAGGAATCTGTTTTCTGGCTAGTGAGACACCAAATGGACAACAACTGTGTCTTATCTTATTTTATTTTTGTGCTTGTTTGAATGTTTTTAAAATCTTGTTAGCTGTAAATATCTGTTAATATTTAGTTTCTGGCACAAAGGAAGCTACTGACAACCCGAGTCACATTTCTTGTTTATGCCAGCATCCTCAGCCACAAAGGTTGATTTTGATTCTGCCAATTTGAGGTTGCACGAGCACATAAGAAGGTCTGCGGCCGACATGAGCTGCAGTGAAGCATGCACACACAGAACGCTGCAGCACAGATACAACTTCATCACTGCAAGTTTAGGCTGGAATACGGGGACTTGCCAAGCAACAGGAACACACACACACACATACAGCTCGGACCGGGCAAAGCCCAGCAGTGCAGCTGAATGGCCTCTCCACACAAGCTGAGCCTGTTGGTGGAGCAGTGAAGGGGAAAGCTTTTTAAAGGCTCCCCTCATCCCGGACATGCACTCACAGTGCAGGGACACCGGAGGATTGGATTGCATAAGAAATTACATCATTTCAAAAAC